TTCACTTAGATGATTAGCCATTTTAGATGTGCAGGGAGAGATGCTGTGGCCTATTGAGTATAAGCTTGTTAGAGAGGGGAGTATAAATTGTGGCTATAGGTGGTAGGAGAACTGATGGGAGCATTGGTTGGAGATTCCAATGATGTTTGGGAGAAGTTAAGAGATGTCTGATGAAATATGACATCAATGCTGACATAAGACATCGTGTTGATGGATATTAAAGTTTATAACAATTTTTAATAGAATAATAATGGAGAAAGGTGCATAGCATTGCTCACATGTGCAAACAAGTGGACAAAACTAACATAATCGAAGTTTTCAGAAGCAGATAAAAAAGATATTTTTGGCAATAAAAAATTGAACGGTAACAACACCCAAAATGGTAAATTACACAATTTATTTAATTGTCAATGAGACTAACATCTATTTAAAAATGGCAGGGAACAGACATGTAAGATATTAAGGTACAAGTAACACCAAGAAGATGCTTGTGTTTAAGCTTAATCATTTTATTTTGTTGGGTCGTATATCGACATGATGATTGATGGATGATATCAATCCTACCATGGAAGGAGCAAAAATGAGATTGCATTATTTCAGGAGGCATTATATATTTGAAAAACTGCAATTTATTTATTGATTAAAAGTTTGAATACAGAGAAGATTTTGATTGATACCTCAACAAGTAAACCCATTCAACCCTGGTGTAGTTATCAATATAAAAAAATAACAAAAATAAAATGTGCTTGTATTGAATATGATCTCTAGATACTTGAATATATTAATTTAAAAGGTGAACTGTTTTGTGAAGTTTAGGGTTGTGCATGAATTAAATGCACTCAATGAAGAACTAAAACTCTGCTCCATAAGACTCGATCAATCTTATTCAAAATGGTAAATAAATAAATTTTAACATTTTTTAAAACTTGAATGTTAAATGAACCATATATAAACATGATCCGAATGATTTATTTATGCTCATGAACAAACTTTCTTATTGCTGAATAAGCACCTTATTAAATACTCTATAAGAAGTTTGATAATATCTAATATCATATATGATATATTATTTAAATAAATTTGATTACTGCAAGAACAATAACAATAAGCCTTTATCACATTTTTTTCTCCATTTTATCCTATTGAGTATTATATTTTCATATAATTCTAATAACTTAAGATCATTTTTTTATACAACGCGCCCAAGTCTTGTTAGGTCTATCTTGACCTTTCTTAATGTAAGTTGAATCTAATGCGTCTACTCTCCTAACTAGATCATGAGATGGTCAACGTTTAATGTGACCAAACTATCTATGATGATTCTCTCTAATCTTTTTTACCACTGGAGCTACACCAACCCATTCAGGGATACATTTGCTAAGTATTTTGGCTCTAACTGTTAATGCACTCATCCACCAAAGCATTATTATCTTATAAACACTTAACTTAGTGTCATGCTACTCTTTGAAAGGCCAACAAAGCATTGCAGGTCTCACCACCATCCTATAAAATGTTCTTTTAAGTCTAAGTTAAACTTTTGTTTCACAGAATAAGCTCGATGCATTCCTCCACTTCAACCATTCAACTTGAATTATAATAATAATCATTCCTCCACTTCAACCATCCAACTTGAATTATAATAATAATGTCCCCATATATATCACGATCACTTTGAACAATAGATCCGTGATATCTAAAAAGATCACATTTGTTAATGTTTGGATCACCCATTGTGTGCCACTAAACCAACTACCACTAAAATTACATTCCATGTATTCCGTTTTAGATCAACTCAAACGAAGGCCTTTAAACTCTAATGTAGACCTCCATAATTCAGTTTTTTTTCCTGAACTCTTTCTTTAGCTTTATCCAGGATATCATCAGCGAAAGCATATTCCATGGTACATCCTCTTGTAAATGTCCATTAAGAGCTTAGAAAACTAAAGAAAAAAAGATATGGGGTTAAAGCTGATCCCTGACGTAATTCAACTGAAATAGGAAAATACTTGGTCACTCCTCCTATTCGAACACAAGTAACAACTCTACTATACACATCTTTATTGACTTGAATACAAGTCATATCTACCATTTTTTTCTAAAACTCTTCAAAACACTTTTTTGGAATCTTACCGTAAGTTTTAACTAAATAAAAAAAAAAATCATATGTAAATCCTTCTTTCTCTCTCTGTACTTCTCAATCAAACCTCTCAATAAGTGTATAACTTTCATTATAGACTTGCCTGACATAAATCCAAACGGATTATGAGAAATCTTTTTATCACGTCTTAACCTATATTCCATTACTCTCTCTCTCTCATAATTTTACTTCATGTCACCTTAACTTAATTCCTTTAAATTTGATTAACCAAAACTTATTTAATTATATGTTCAGTTATAACTTATTATAATTTAACATTAATATCAACATTAATTTAATGCAAAAGTTTCGTATTTATGATTTCAATGAAATAATTTGTTGATACTTATTTTATATTTTTTATTTGATTACTTGTAACCTTAGTTGAAACCTATAAATTATCTTGCTTAATTGGTGTAAGCTAGGTAGATACTAAGTAAAAATTTATTCGATTGCTTAATTGTTTAGATTTATAAAATCATTTGTTAAAATATTTATATTAATATCTAAGTGCTCATTAATATTTTTAGCTTATTAATCGACTCATTGAATTACTTTTTCAATTAATATAAACAGGTAGAAAGTATAAGTATGATTATTAAAAAATTTAGATAAATCAAGTAGGAACATATATATGAAAGCTAGGCTCGAGCATGAGCCATATAACTTATAACATGGCCAAGTCAAGTTCAATCAATGATATACTTAGCTCGGCGTTGCTCGATTGCAATCCTAATGATATTTATCTAGTTGCAAGCTTCAACATTTAAATTATGAAATAAACGATGGCATATGAGCGAAGACACAATAATTTCGAGGCTAAAGGTGACCTAGACAATAATATCATTGATATAGTGAAATAAAAGAGGATAAAATAGTGGAAGCGGCATCAATGAGATAATAAATACATCATATATTTTATAGCATTAAAAAATGGTTTGTGCTTTCAATCAATTTAATACACATGAGGCATAAAGTAGCACGTGATGAAGCATTGCACGAGCGAAGTAGTATGCAAGCAAAGGAACAATGAATCATTGAGGTTCTGACAATCCTTGAGAGGGCGCAATGTGAGCGATGAATGTGAAGAACTTTTTACAAATACTTAGCAATGCACAAAAAAATGTCTCAAATGAACCACGTGATCCTCAACAATTTTCATGGGACCTCCCACAAGATCTTTATAAGGTTCTACATAGTTCTTCTAGGGATCTTCCATAGGATCTTCGGGATTCATTCCTTAGCTAAACCAGCTAAACCATGATAAAGGTGAATCTATGTTTCATCAATCTAAACATGAGAAAAAGTGAAATATCTCCGCTAGATCCTTACAAGTGATAAAGTTGACTATTTAAAGTAAGTTCTTTAATACCATGAAAAATAGAGTAATGCACAAATTACTTGTCCTCTTCTAAAGATTTCTACTTATTATGTAAAAAGTAGGTATCATGCAATGCAATGATCATATTATTTCAATTAGATTTGTCCTAATAAAATAGTTAATAATTATATTCCTAGAATATAAATAATTTCAATTATACCAATTTAGTATATTTATTTTTTGACATAATTTATGTGTAATAATTGACGTGATATTAATGACAATTTAAATGCTGAGTACTTTGATTGAAAAGGGGAGGGAGAAGTATGCATGATTCACACCTTCGAAATGAGTGAATGGGCTGCAAGCTTGCACATGAGTGAAGGAAGGACTTAGCGAGCTAGCTGGTGGGCAACTGGGGGTGTATGCAACCATGAGTGTGTTGGAGTGCTCATTATTTTTGTACATACATTACTCTAGAAGACTCTTTACTGCTATACGTGATTCACTAAAAGACTCTATGTAATAAAGGAGTGAGCACAATGCTCTGACGTGTAACCAAAAAATACATACTAGTCACAGAATGTAGAACCCTTCTAACTTTATATTTTATTTTGATGCTAATATATAATATTTGATTAGAATTGTACATAAACTAGAGTGTTAACTTATATCTTCCTTGGGTAGCCTGACTTGTGACTGGAAATTTGGTTCAGCACATGAACGATCTGTTTGGCATCTCTTTTTCTTGTATTTCTGTTTTGTTTTCTTTTTTTTGATTTATTCTTTAAAACATGTTTGATTAGTATAATTTTTTATTTTATTATTTTTTATTTTTAAAAATAAATCACCTTGTTTTTAAGAACACTACTTTAGAAACACTCAAAGCACCTAAATGATATTTTAAGTGTTTTTAAAAATAATAACCACTTTAATTCAAAACAAAACATAAAAATAAAAATAAAATAAAAACAGAAAAAATTAAAAAATAAAAAATGATCCCAAAGGGGGCTGAAGTAATTCAAAAACACTGTAGCTAGGTGGGTCAAGTTCTGCTTCTCATATGGACTAGAATCAGGCCTGGTTAAGGGTTTGGTTCTTTGACTGATTAATTTCAGAAATTGACCTCATTTGACATTGCTGAACTTCTTCATTGATTAGTTCTTGCTTTTAACCATCATTAATGATCTACTTAATTATCTTTTTTAATAGGATCAACCCTTAAGTATTTCACGACTTTGCCAAATTCTCTTAAGTTGGTTAGTATTGATTACTCAAACATGTTGTTATTTACTTGTGAAGTTAATAGCTTTCTCCTACTTATCACATTATTGCATGTTTTGAAGTTCTATAATAATGATTTCTTCGGCTTAAATTTACTTAACAATAATCTTGATCCTGGGTTTCTTGCGCTTATTCCGCTAGAATATCTTTCTTAGAACACTATTCTTCACCTTGGAAACTATCTCGTTATTTGTTTATTGAGGGTAACATTTATGCTTTCATAATCGCTCTTTCTCATACCCATTATTGTCCTTGCAGTATACCCCCGCTATTGATATTTGGAGTATAGGGTGCATATTTGCTGAAATGCTTACTGGAAAGCCGCTGTTTCCTGGGAAGAATGTGGTTCATCAGTTGGATATCATGACAGATCTCTTAGGCACTCCTACTAATGAAACCATCACAAAGGTTTTTCATCCGTCATCTCCTTTCATAAAAATGCTGCTCATGCAAATTTATCTGCATGTCTTTCAGTTGTATATCTGTTAACTGCAACCATGCCCTTACCATTGCATATGTAATGTTGTCCTATTACGCCTTGCAGATTTTTCCTTAGCATACAGCAACAGATTGCAGCTTTTCCCTGGGTTTCTTCTTGATCAAGCAAATATGATGAAAATTTTTTTTCTCGGGAAAGTGAGACTTGGTAGTGTTGCATGTGATAGTGCCTTGATAAATTAATGATTTATTGTTGTCAAACTTTTTGTGATTTGCTTGCTAAAACTTGCCTTGTTAGAATATAGGTTGTACATGGTCACGGATTTTCATGGAAGGTATGAGCTCTGGGAATAAACTTGCAATATGCAATTTTTAAACGGTTGAATAGGCTTACACTTGCTCAAAAACAAGATTAGTTACAACTCCTTCACTATCCTCAAGTTATGGCTATATCTGATGCTTTAAAAGCTATTCAAGTAGGTGGATATCTGCTAGTGCATAGATTTGGGAACTTTAGGAGATGGTTAAACTAATGGATGAATTTGTTCTCCTGAAGTGAAGGACCAAACACTTAAAAGGCAAAATGCATTTTTCACGAGTTCTATATGCTGGGACACAATCCTTGTTTGTAATTTTGTATTCTCTGTACTTTTTGGTTTCATAGATACGAAATGAAAAGGCTAGAAGATATTTAAGTAGCATGCGGAAAAAAAATCCAGTTCCCTTCTCACAGAAATTCCCTAATGCTGATCCGTTGGCTCTTTCTCTACTCGAACGTTTACTTGCATTTGATCCTAAAGATCGTCCCACTGCTGAAGAGGTAAGGTTTGAAGTCTGAAACTGTTGAGCTTTTGAATTAATTTTAAGTGTTAGATCGTCAACCACATCATAGGTAAATTATCTTATTGCATTTTGCATATTTCAGGCACTAGCTGATCCATACTTCCATGGGTTGGCAAATGTAGAGCGTGAACCTGCAACACAAGCAATCTCAAAACTTGAGTTTGAGTTTGAAAGGAGAAAACTGACAAAAGATGATGTACGAGAGTTAATTTATCGAGAGGTAAAGGAGCCAGGGCTAATTTTCCTTACTTAGTCCTTGATATCGGAACTACTATATTTTTCAGACTGATTAAATTAGTTTAATATAAAAAAGATTTTAGAGTATCATCCCCAAATGCTTAAGGAATATCTACGTGGTGGAGACCAAACTAGCTTCATGTATCCAAGGTTAGCCTTTTTATTTATTCTCATTATTCAATCTGAAAGAAGATGATGTTTTTTTTTTATCATGAAACACAAATTAGTGCCAATTCTTTTTTAAATGCTTGAAAATGTGTTCTCTTAAAACCAAGATTTCTATCATCCTTCCCATTAGAAAATATATTCGATTTGTAGGAACAGATATAAAACCAGAGAAAGGAGGAGAGGGGAGACGTTAGAAAGAGAAGCTCTGTGATTTCACTAATAAGATTACGCAATTGATTAAATGTCACTCACCATTTGACCCTTTTCTAATGGTTTGACTTGAGGCACATGGATACAAGAAAGACTAAATTGAACTAATCTAAGTTATTTAGCAAGGCTGCATTTTGTATAATTTATGAGTACTAAACATATTCCAAGAGTGGTGACTGGTGAAGAAGGTTGGGAGTTGGACGTGGGTGCGAGAGGGATGGGGAAGGGGAATGCTTTTTTGCGGCAGGGAGAAGGTTGGTGGCTATGGACTGTCATGGGATGGTTGCAGGTGCCTGGAACAACGATTAGGTGGCAGTAGGCGTGTTCGGGAAGGTTGGAGCAACAACTATGATGTATGGAAAGGGATTCTGGGAGACTGGGACATTGGGTAGGTGGCAGGAGAGGGGTCAGGTGAGCACTGGAAGGCGACAGTGAGGGATGGCAGTAAGTTCAGTGGGGCCTAGGTGGTAATGGTGCTGCAGCTAATCAACGAGGTGACTTCTTTTCAAGTAGCTGCAGCGAGTACAACGACGGAAGTAGCAATTGAAAGCTTTCTGGAGGATGTGGAAAGGTCCATGATAATCACCACCTCAGATGAGATATAAACGGAGCACTACTTGTCATTGTATACAACACTAGAAGGGAAAACCTCGGTGCTGACGACTGCCCTTGCACAAAACATGAGGAAAACTGACCTAGAAATGATAAAATTAACATATATAAATCTAAGGCAACAAAAGAGTAGACCCCACTTACCATAGGCAACAAATCTATGCTTGGAAGGACCAGTCGGTCCCTCCTCTGCCTGAAACAAACATAACCAGGTTGGTAGATGCTGCATTTTGCCGTGCCTGGGTGTTGAACGCCACACGTTAGTCTCCCGACATTAGGGGAGCTTTGACCTCATTCTTTGAAGCTTCTGTCTGCATGTTGAGGTTTTCAGAGCTACTGTGACCTCCCAGGGTTGAAGGATCTTAGTTGTGTCCCTAGAAGCACATGGATGAAACATCGGATCTCACTGTTGGCTGCGTTGTATCCCAAAACAACTGAGTTTTCCTCAATTGTGAGCTGCCATCTTTATCAGTCCAACCATATGAACGAACACTGCTGAACTAAACAAAAATTTTGTGCCAAAGTGTGTCCTACAAAGTTTTTCAAAGGTACCCCCAAGTTGTCTAATCCATATTTAATGTGAGAACAGACTGCACTCCCTTAATAGTGGCAGCCATGGCAGTAAGGTATCAATTATGATGCCCTGAAATGCCCTCTATAGTAATTGCCCCGTGTTTGGAATCGGTGCCTCTTTCCTCTATCCTCTATCATCACCAAATGATCTCACAACTACTTTTCCGCTGACGGGAGCACCTATAACCTCAGACTCCGCATAAGGTAGGAGAACTATGTGCTTTTCGTCTTTGGTGAATGAGTATGTGTTCTTGAATCATCATGTTAAGTTCGGTGATCAAACTATCGGGGTCTCCCCAACAAGATATGATAGAAGTCTATGAGCAGTATATCACACCACATCTGATCTTGTAGATGATTTCTAATGAAAAACTCAACGAGACATTTTCTATCAATGTTGATTCTGTTCTTCTTCAAACACATTAAGGAGTATGGCTAAAACTACATTCGAGTTGTGAGTCTCCTTGTCTATTATTTGTGTAGACGCAACGTTCTTGCCGCTACCTCCACCAATGGTGAGGCTACATACCTTTCCCTTTAGTGTGTAACAAATTTGAAATATATTAGGGCAAAGCCACTGCTGCTCCCCAGCCTCAAATTGAAGGAACCATCGAACCAAAAACATCTCAACCTCATCCAGTGGAAGCTGGCACCCACCTTGTCTCATTACTCACCTTCTCCACTGCACCTAACTTAGTGAAAGCTCCCCAGCCTCAAATTGAAGGAACCATCGAACCACAAACATCTCAACCTCATCCAGTGGAAGCTGGCACTCACCTTGTCTCATTACTCACCTTCTCCACTACACCTAACTTGGTGAAGGACACAATTTGACTCATCGAGCAATTGGAAGTGATGTGTCCATAACCATGGCATTTGAAGCATTTCCTAGCTAGAAATGTATTAGGGGTTGCTGCTTTTCTCAGGCTTTTTATCATTATAAGCAGCTCTATCATTCTTTTGACTGGTCTTCTCAACTCTTGTAGGTGTGCTACTACTAATGTCTTCAGCTGTGGGTGGCTGTCTGAATAGCGGCGGTTTCCTACTTTGCTTTTGTAGTCTCTTCACATTCAGTGCTATGGTCTAACCATCACTCAAGCACTAGTAGAGCTGTAGTTGAACCATGTTGTCGATAGAGGGTTTCATGCCTCCCAACTACTTGGCTATCACGCGCTCATCTGGCTCCATCAGATAACATTTCCACTTAACCTAGATAAACTTCGATGTTTACTCTTCCAACTCTCCATTTATAGGCCCTCTACTGTAGGTAGTGGGGCCTTAAGGAAAGATCTTATCAACAGTGTGGAGGTAGGTATTGTTCCTACAACTCTCTTTATCTTTTCCCGTGTGGTAATCTTGCTTCTTCCTTTTCCATTTTGCTCCCTTTTCAGGATCTCCCACCACAAAAAGATGCTTTTCTTCAGTTTGATATCAACTAGTTTCACTTTCTGGTCATCTGATACCTCGTTGTATTCAAAGACTCTCTTGATCGTCTGTAGTCACTCTACGAAACTGAAATTTGGTATGTCTACTTTGCCTTTATGTTCTTCAACACACTTCATTTTTGTATTTTCTTACAGGTACTTTATTTTTGTATCCCCTAACAAACACTTTATCACTGTATCCTTTAACAGGCACTTCATCTCTTGACTTTCTTTGATTTTGTATCCCAAAACATCTTGGTTTGTCTTCTTCTCCATCGGAATCATCACTATGGAAGGGATTCAGATATTCCTCCCTCCTCTTTGGATCTCGCTAACACGCTCGTCGTAACCTCTCCATGGGTCCTTTCCTCAATGTCATCGAGCAGTTGTAGCGCTCGACAGAGTTGCCGCTATAAGAGTTCCATAGTGAAATCTTGATTAGATTCTCATAATTACCTCGACAGCTACATGATTAGGGTTTGGGCGTGGATATGTGGAAAGAGGTGTGTAGGTGTGATGTTAAGGTGGGAAAGAAAAATTTTTGGGTGGAGGTAGGATTGGGTAGGGGTGGACGCAATATAAAATTTATGATAGGACTAGGGTTAGACTTGCTGATACCAAATGATATTGGAGTTAACCCAAACAATAATAGCAAGTAAATATTATTACTGAAAAAGCTAATGGGTGATTACAACCATCACACAAGAAAGGAAAAATAATAGCAAACATAAAAAAACTCAACTAAAGCGTACCTCAGTGGTGGTGACCGGTGAAGGAGGTTTGGAGTTGGTTGTGGGTGCGAAGGGGGAAGGGGATTGTTGGTCGGTAGCAAGGAAAACGCTGGTGGTTGTGGACTGCTGTGGGAAGGTTGCATGTGACTGGGACAACGACTAGTTGGTAGGGAGCTGGTTCAGGAAGGTTGGAACAACTAGATGCAGGGGAAAGGATTCTGGGAGGCCGGGATTACGAATAGGTGGCAGGAGGGGTTGATTGGGCACTGGAAGGCGGCGGTGAAGGATCACAACGGGTGGGAGAAGGTTGCATGGCAGACGGCTGTAACAAATCTTCGAGGTAGCTGTTTTCCGGGTGTCCACAGTGAGTACGGCGACAAAGGCAGTGGAGGGAAGGTTGCAGAGGGTGTGAGAAGAACGAGGATAATCACTACCGTGGATGAGATACAATCAGAGCAACAATTGTTGTCAGATACAATCCTAGAAGGGAAAACCTGGACGCCGACAGCTGTCTTGATAGAAAACACGAAGAAATTTGACCTAGACACAACGAAAACAACATATATAGACCTAGGAAAGCAAAGGAGTGGACCCCACTACACATAGACCGGAAATCTATGCTTCGATGGGCCGGTCGGTTCCTAATCTACCTGGACCGAACTGCCCTAGGTTGGGAGAAGCGGTATTTTGCCATGCATAGGCGCTCGACACCCCGCATCATTGTACCTCTTTAATTACATAAAGAACTCATGATGAATTTTAAGTTTAGCATGACTCAGAAGTCACTAACAACTTCACCTTGAGTGGATGAGTTTCTAATGTAGTCTCCATTGTGACTTAGTCATGGCCTGGCGAGCTGCCTTGCAAAGTTGCAATATTGGTGAATTCACTTGGCGAGTTAGCTGTATAACGCAACAATTTTGATTGATTTTGGGGCTGAATTGACACTTTCCTAAAACAAAGGTAAATGTGCCAGATTGGTATGGAAACTTGAACTATACGACAACAATGTCATGCTCTTGGACGACTTCAAATTGATGGTGAATTAACTCCCATTGCGGATGAATTTTGAACCTTGCCCATTATTTGATCAATAAAGCTTCATGGACCAGTTTAAGACAATATTGGGTGTACACCACGTGCCGTGCTTGCACCACTCATGTAATACCATGATGAGGTCCAATGTAGAAAGACATTAGTTGATGCAACTGCATGTATACATAAATGATCATGCTACATTTTTCTCATATATGATCAGTACGAAATTGGAATAATATAAGCTAAGGGAATTATCAAGAGAGATTGTGAGATGGAAAAAGTGAAATCATGTTTGTTAACCACCTGACTGGTTGATATTTCTTTTGACAGTGGAGTTGACCGTTTTAAACGCCAGTTTGCTCATCTTGAAGAGTATCATGCCAGGGAAGAAAGAGCCACTCCAGTTCTACGACAGAACACTTCTTTGCCCAGGTATTAAATCACAGACAAATTGTGGAATAAAATGTAATCTTCTTTCTGTTTTAATGAGGCTTTTAGTTTCTTACTTGCTTCGTAACTGAATCTCCTGACTTGCTTGACATCTAGGGAGAGGGTCTTGCCTATTAAAGAAGAAAAGGTTGATGGAGAGAAGGTTCTTGAAAGACAATATGCTAGCAGAGATAATGAATCGGCGGTCAGTAAGAGCCCTTCCATGACACAAGCTGAGGGATCAGAAGTTACTGTGGCTAGTATTGAAAATGGGCTAAACAAGCTAAATCTAAGCGCTCGTAGCTTATTGAAGAGTGCCAGCATCAGTGCATCCCAATGTATTAACGTGAAAACAAGGAAAGATACTTCTGTAAGCATTCATTTCCCTAATTAAACTTATATGTTTAAATGATGGAACAAACGGTCATTGCATTTCAACTTTTTTATGTTGCATTTTGTTTGTCTTCTTTGTGTGGATTAAAAGATGACTTTGGCTAAACTGTATTCGTTATGGAATCATAATTAGTTGGCCGGAATAGTGAGTACTGTACAACTGCTAGACTGCCAATCGCCCAAAAAATCTTCTACAGAATTTTGCATTTTGGAAATGTTTTATATTTTTTTTTGAAGTTTTATTGTTTTTGTTATTGAATTTTGGACGAACCAATTTTGAACTGCCGGATACAATAAATAGAATAATACGGTAAATTGCAGGGGCCATAACGTGTTGAGGAGTTACCTCAAATGCTTCAAGAAGTACTATGGTGCAAGCAGGCATTTCGAAGTAAGTACGACGTTGTACATCCTAACAACTTCTGTTAAAAAAGTTACAGTTGGCGCAGTTTGATTTATTATTTTTCCATGGCATTAAATTTTCTATCTTTAGATTTTCTTGCCATGATTTCTCCCAACCCCTTTTCCTCAAATTTTAAATTTAGCAATGCCTGCCTTCTATCTTCTTTTTAGCATTTCGAAAAACTAAAAGGGTTTGTATTCGATTAGTGAGATCGATCTTACCTTTACTACAACTTCCTTTCTTTTGTATCTGAAAAAAGTATTCCTTAACTGAATACCCAACTAAGAAGTTCAGAGTTTTTTTGAAATTATCATTTATACCTCATATCTATAAGTTTCAATTATTGACACTGATATGATTTGGCTACTTTATTTACAGGATGAATCTGGTCAAGGCGCACTTTGAATGCCTTTGATGATTTTCTTCAATATCAACTGCAATTCCAGATTGCAGCCATGCTTTAATTCTGAAACGCACGGAAGTTATCTGATGTTCTCCCATCAGTTACTTAAATTGTAGCTACTTAATTTTATTTTTAATTTTTAACCATATTTCAAAACAACCAGATTTAAGTAATTTTCCATACTTTGCGTTGAAGAAACTTTCATTAATTTTTGGAGAGTCTCAGTGCATGTAATTTTTAGAACCATTTCTAATATTCAAATGGCATTACATTTGGTAAGCTTCTTCTAGCTTGGGATTCCAATAGCGTGTTTATTTCCTTACAGGATGTTGTTAAGTTTGCTGTTGCTGTAGTTTGGTATTTTCTGCACATTTTGGGAGTCGTTTGTCATGTTTTGAAGCCAGCTGCCCGTTGGGAATCTAACTTCAAAATCTTATTATTATTGTTAGTATTAATTTTTTTCAAAATTGAGCCTATATCAAATTCAAGGAAGAGCTGTCTAACTTGAATTGAGTTATGCATACATGGAATCAAACTAAGATTTATGTATGTTGGATTATTATTATTATTATTATTATTACTCTGTAAGTTCAAGTCAGTTGAAAATATAGTCAATTTTTAACTCGAATCAATTCTATTGAGTCGGGCTTTTGACTGAAATCAAAGTAAAGCTACTCTTTTATGATCTTGAAGCAATTCTAAACCATGTTTGATAAGCTTGAGATTTTATCACTGTCGACCCAATTTTTGTTAAAAAACACTCGGGAAGTTTCCCATATTGCAATGCGTTAAAAAAGAAAAAGGGAAAGTTACGGATATACCACACAATTCTCCTTTATCATGTCATGTTGAATTTTTACTATAGGCTCTAAAAATTAGAAAAAAAATTTCATATGGAGTGCGGGCGTAGCTCTGCCTGCGGATTCCAGTAACATGCCGTCTCATGTGCTACACTGAGCCCACCTCATAAGTACCGTGCAGTTTACTGCTCCAATAATCTCTATGACTTCATTTCAATAAATCAACCAGAACAATTTCAATAACCGCTTCAATATCATCGCAATAATCACCCAATAACATCGCGTGGTGAACTGCTCAAATAACATTGGTGGTTCCACTTCAATAACCCCCGCAGAATAATTTTAATAAGTTCCCAATAACGTTGTAATAATGTGACTAGTGTTTGATTTGATTAGAAGAATAAGAGGATAACATTATCTTTATTTTTTTTTATCATTTTATTAAATATGAAGTGTCATTAAAGGGTTATTGCAACATTAGTGGGGACTTATTAGAGTTGTTCTACGAGGGTTATTGAAGTAGAACCACTGAGGTTCTTCGGTTCACAACGTGGTGTTTTCGCAGGGTTATTGAGGGGTTATTGCGTCGTTATTGAAATTGTTTTGTGAGGGTTATTGAAGCCGGACCGCGACATTATTGGATCGGTTCTTTGAGCGTTGTTATTGAAGAGTTATTACAGTGTTATTGAAGACTTATTGGAGTTATTCTACAGGTGTTATTGAAGTGGAATCACAGAGGTTATGAAACAATTCGTTTGGTGTTATTGGGGGGTTACTGCGGCGTTATTGAAGCAGTTATTGAAATTGTACAATGCGTTAAAAAAGAAAAAGGGAAAGTTACGGATGTACCACACAATTCTCATTTATTATGTCTTGTTGAATTTTTACTATAGGCTCTAAAATTAGAAAAAAAATTTCATACGGAGTGCGTACGTAGCTCTGCATGCAGATTCCAATAATATGTCATCACATGTGCTACACTAAGCCCACCTCATAAGCACTGCGCGGTGTACTATAATAATCTCTATGGTTTCATTTCAATAATCTCAACAGAACAATTTCAATAATCACTACAATATCATCGCAATAATCACCCAATAAAATCACGTGGTAAACCGCTCCAATTATCTTCGTGGTTCCACTTCAATAACCCCCGCAGAATAACTCCAATAAGTTCCTAATAAAAATGTAATAACACTTCAATGTATAATGTGACTAGTGTTTGATTTCATTAGAAGAACAAGAGGATAACATTATATTTCTTTTTTTTTTATCATTTTATTAACTATGTGGTGTTATTGAAGGGTTATTGCGGCGTTGGTGGGGAATTATTGGAGTTGCTCTATGAGGGTTATTGAAGTGGAACCACT